CTATTGTCTATTACGTGCCCTCCTCTACCCCCTTTCTAGTGTTGTATATAAATCACACATGTTATCAATCACCCCTTGCAATATCTCGTACAACTCCATGTTTGTTTGAGACTATTTGCATATCAAAGTTATATTTCCTAATTTTCTATTTTCAGAATTTCGAGAAGACATTCCCACTATGGAAATAAAACATTAATTATGAAGTAATCATGGCAACAAGATATACAGCATGATGATAAATTTGTTGTCATTTTATGGCAAACATGAGATAACCTGTCTTGTTTACAAGTGACATATCTGTTATATTGTATACTATACCTATTTTTGATAATAGAGAATAATGCAGGCATTATAAAATTTAGATATAACTAAATGATGCATTGTGTCAAATGTTCTGTAATGACAGATAGCTATATCAAGGTAGTTTCGTGCACAGTCAGCTGGCGCACACGTGATAATAAAATAAATAGGATATTTACTATATGGGGCCACCATCTTGAATGCAGCATAAAACTAAATAAGAGAGAAGTTGTGAAACACGTTTTTCAGATTCCTACAAATCTGGACAAAAATACCAATCTTTCACAAATATATGATCTGTTATTTCTGCAAAATATGATTTTGTTATCGGTTGGCTTAATATTACCCTAACGGATCGTATTTCATCGGTCGACAAAGCGGTGTTTCGAAAAAAAACAGCTCACAATATTGTGAAGCGATACATCGCAACTGGTAGCATTCTTCTTGGGAAACGTGGTGGCGGAATGCAGGCGAAGACAAAACTAACGGACAACGTTTTGGAGCATATAGAATACTATAACACAACAAAACCAAGTATTTACGCTCGTGAAATCTGTGGCAAATTACTAGAAGATGGTATCTGCACACCAAAGTTGTTCATTTCGATAGACACCATGGCGGCTCGGTACAAATAAACTGAGTGGCCCATATCTTTAGCATTATTGCTAATTTGCATAACAGAAAAAATATTCCCAGTTCTGTGGACCGATCTCGGAATAAGACATTCCTCCAAAATAAAGCTGAACTACCCTCTCTTATTACAGCGGGTTTTTCCACACCTTGCTTATCCATTGCAACGACCTATAATAGTTGCCTCGATACTGTCATGAAACTCAACTGACGGAAGTTTTAAATTTTAGTAGCGTCGCCATGGTGTCTATCAAAATGAACAAGCCTTGCTACATTTTAATTTTGTTGTTGTTGACCTGTCAATCACGCCTTTGATAATTACAGCGTTGTTGCCAATATTTTGAACAGGTAAAGTAACTTTCAAAACAAACTGCCTGACCAATTGTAACGACTTATCAACATCTGACTGCAATTCTTCGTGTAATCAAGGGGTGAAAGGGGTGTACAGATTTTGGTTCCATGAGATCCCCATAAATGGCTTACTTCAATAGTAACAATACTTTAAAAGCTCAAGTTGATGGCAAAATTATACGAAAGCTAAGCATATAATTTGCATACAGTTGAAATGTTTATTGATGATTTTCATAGTAATGATAAATTACTATATAAATTGTATCCAATTAAAAATATTAAATAATATATTTTGGTAATATCCATTTTAATTACTGTACCGTAACTAATGTTGTCACAATATACAGTAAATCAAATTTTCATTCAAAATTGTAACTAAAAAATTTATTAATATAGCCAAAAGATTTTAGTGGAACAAAAAATACGAGTAATATACACAGGCAGCAATAACATGACAAATACAAATGTTTTAAAAATTTATGAGCAGTTTATTGCGACAGGGATATAGTTACAATCGCAGGGAGTTTTCAAAACACGTAACAATTACAAGTCATAATCAGAACTCTGATTAAATTAAGAGAAATATGCTGAAAATGTGAATTGTGCAATATGTACAAGATGTATTAATTAATAAATTTTCAATATGAATACAGGATAAAATAAGAGGAAGTATCTGTTATTACACCCCTGCTGTAGAATGGAATCTTCAAAGCTGATGGCCCTAAAATGAGATGGAAACCTGTCTAGACAAAATATACGAGGAACAAGTATGAGTTCTTGTGTCAATGTCTGAAGAGAAGCATATTTTGGGCGGAAATACAAGTTTTCACAGAACAGTCAAAAGTCACGTCATGATTACTGTAATAAGTTCTGCAAGGCAAACAGAAATAATGCTTTAGATGAACATTTGTTTGCAAGATACAAGTATGCGTTACTGGAATTTAACCTCTTTTGTTCATGTTTAGACAGACCACTGACAATACTGCATTGCAAAAACTGTATATTCAAATTGAGATTCTTGTTATTGATTTACCTAGCTACTTTGTTCCAGTGATTAAAAATTGCTAGACATCTCAAATGTAAAATACGTGAGAGAGCATTGTATCCCCACAGCAATGCCAACCTCATATGCCATCGTCCCAAACAATGTGATTGAGAATAAAGAAACAACATCAGATGATTTGAGACAAAAAAATTTTAAATATATTTTACAACAACAAAAAACTAATCCTCCTCATCAACTTGTTCTTTTGCCAAATTTGACCATTCAGGTTTATTTTCAGACTCATCTTCATCTTTTTCATCTGATGCTTGCTCAACTGGTTTTTCCTCATCAACTTTTTCTTCATCTTCTGTAAAAAAAAAAGAAAATTAAGTCAGCTCCAGATATTGATATCACAGTTATATCATGTTCTTCTCGTGCTTTTAGTCTTGTACATTTTTTAACACCAATAAACCACAGTCCACTATGCTTCTTGCTTCATTAACACTGTAGCTGTATAAACTTTACTGGTTTGTTTCATTCATTCATTCTCTTTCCACATACAAAAATATACACGCACAACGAATAACATCTTCAATTCTTGTTCTTTTGCCACATGCAAACATTCATACTATTTCATCTCATTCTTGTATAAAGGAATGTTTATGTCTTACTAAAGACCAATGCCAAATCCCTACCCTCATACTAGGACTTGCAGTTCATGGTCTTATTGTTTTTCAAAATATTATTTCTAAATATTTTGAGTTTCCTAGTTGGTATGCTGAAATGAATTCTGACTTATAACCTTGCATGTTGTCTTGTAAATTCATTTTCATTGCATCAATCCTACAAAATCAGTGTGCCCTCTAACATCACTGATTTTAAAGTGGTCTTGAGTCAAAATGAATTCTAAAAAAATGGAAAGAGGACTAAATATATGTTGTGGTTCTTCGCAATGTCTGAATTAACTAAACTATTGTGATACCTGATTAAGATTTCCATCATTTTTACACTAATTAATAATCTCCTTTTTACCAAATTACAAATTTAATAACATAGATGTTTTAAAACATCACTGTATCCATGTATGATTGTATGCTGCACCATTGACTTGTCTTACAAAATATGTCTATTTAGAAGGCACACTGGCCATTCAAGAAGATAAGCAACCAGAGTTCTCAAATCTAAAACACTATTCGGTCCCTATAGATACCCTGGTTTAAGCGCTGTAACACAAACGCCCATCTACGTACACTCACTACCTTCACACTCACTCTGAACACTTGTCTTCTTGTTAGTAATCTAGATCAAAACAAGTCATTGTCAATGACACGTCCCCGTTCCGTTCATATTTCATGTTGAACTGCATTCAGTAAAACAAAATAGCCACCAGTCAGCCATTTTCAACACAATCAGAAAAAAAATTTAAACTAAATTTGCCCATGCATGACTAAGATTCAGTTCCAGTATGGTGAAAATGTGCAATTTTTGTGAATTTTTGACCTTAAAAGGACTGGCCCAAATGCACAAGCATATGTATGATATGATGTGTATGTGAAGTTTGAACTTGATCTGTCCAGGCATGTCTGAGATATGGATCGAAAACTAAATTCTTTAAAACAAAATGGCCGCCAGTTGGCCATTTTGAACTTGATCCGAAGAAAAATTGGTATGCATCAAGCTTATATTATGTTTAATATATGCACTAAATCTGAACAAAATCCATCCATGCATGACTGAGATCCGGTTCCGGAATTGTGAAAATACGTGATTTTGATGCATTTTCGGCCTTAAAATGGCCATCATTCAGCTATTGTTAAGCGGATCATGAAACAAATGCACATATCTATTTGTGACATGATGTACTATGTGTGTGTGAAGTTTGAACTTGATCAATCCAGACATGTCTCGGATACGGATCCAGAACTGAATTCTTTAAAACAAAATAGCCGCCAGTCGGCCATTTCGAACTTGATCCGAAAAAAAAAAATGACGTGCATCAAGGTCCTATCATGTTTAATGTATGTACCAAATTTGAACAAAATCCGTCAATGCATAACT